CGTCCACCTGAGCCCGCTTTCCACCGCAGCAGGCCCATGCTGGCAGGGCCATTCACGGCCCGCGCTGGTCAGGGCCGGTTCACGGGAGCCTTCCTCCGTGTTTCTTCCCCCTCCACTTTTTTCTTTAACTTAACTTGTGAATGGGTCAAAGGGGACATCGTGTGATAAAATAGTGCACTTTCATCTGATTCTATCTGCCATAATTGACTTTACACGGCTCTCTACGTCTGATAGCCAGGCTAGTCACCTCTCCCGACTGTGGTCAGAGACTTACCCTAAGTAAAAGGATAGCATGGCTTCCACGGTCATCCCTAGCACTCTGCCCACCAGGTGTTCACACATGCAATCTCTGATACCATTCCCTTCTTCGGATTTGGATGACATTATTTGCAATCCTTGGCTCCCACAGGCCGGTGTGCTCCTTCCATGTGGACTTTGCTGCTGCCCCACTAGAGAATGTAACCTTCACTCTGGGTGACCACGAGGATTAAACCGGATGGTGCAGCCAGGATCCTCGCAAAAGCCAGACTTTCAGAAGTGCAGGCCCCAAGGGCCCCAGGTTGAGGGCTGGAATCAGGGTCCAAGTTCTCTGGCTCCGGAGTGTGGCCTCCACGGAGAGGGGAAGGCTTGGCTGAACCGGGCAGCCGCCCACCAAAGGGCCTACATCTCTGCAGCCAGCCCAGCCCCTCCCTCACAAAGGAACAATAACAGGAAACTCTCCCCGGGGGGGAAAAGTGGGCCGGAGCCAAAACCTGAGGGGGAGGCGGCAGGGCCTCCCTGTGCTGGGTGTGGCTCCCCCAGCCCTGAGCCATCGGCAGCGAGCTGCCCTGAGCTCTGACCACACTCCGCCTGGACAGACCGGACAGACCGCCCGGCTGGACAGAGGCACCACTCGGCCCCCAGACACGGTGAGTGAGGGATCTCTGCCCTGAAGAATGGGCACATCTAGGGAGCACCCAGCTGAGGCACCACAGGGCACAGATGGGGTCAGAGGGTGAAGGCTTGGCTCCCCCACAAATGGGCTTTCCCATTCGGTGTGGCCCTGACCCCTGGCTTCCATCTATCGCAAGCTCAAGGAGGGCCTAGTCTTCCCAAGTCACCCAGCACACCAGGGATGGGGGGGCGGGCCCTCAAAGTCCCTTCTCCCTTACAGTGGACTTGACGAGTTCAGGAAGAATGGGGTCTTTGAGCCTCAGGCCAACCTCCCCTCGCCTCACCCAGCACTCACTCACTGCGGTCCAGATGACCTACAGACCCGGGAACAACCGTGGGCTTCTCAGACTCTTTACAGGAGTAGAAAGCTCCGTTTTCTCCCGAGGAGCGGCTGGTGGTTTCAAACTGCTGACCTGGTGGTTCGCAGCCCCGTGAGGGACCTATCCCAGCCAGGGCGGCCCTCATGCCCTGGATAGGCAAGCTGAGGCTCAACCCTGGGCGGTTGAGGGGGGCGCTATGGAATTCTCTGTGGCTGTGTGCTGAGGTCAGGTCGCACACCTAGCACCCAGAGCCCCACAGGCTGGGCCGAAGGATTAGGGGCTCTGGGCTCTGTGAGGCGCTCTTTGCTCTTCTGCACGACGGGGATGCGCATATTGTTGCAGTTCCCTGTGAGAGCTGGAGATGGACCCGCTCTCTGAGCCCAAGGCCTGGGTTCCTCCCAGCACCGGGCAGCGTATTTCTGCTGCCCCCATTCTGCTCTTGAGTCTGTTATAGGCAGTGCAGGCGTCCACCCGACCCCATCCCCCAAGCGCTGCCACCCAGGCGATTCCAGCTCGGGATGCCCCTCCGCAGTTTCCAAGGCCAGGAATCATTCTAGGCTCAGCCTGCCTCATCGTTCACCGTGCACTGGGCTGGTGGTGGGTTTGAACCGCCGGCCTAGTGGACTCCTTGGCACCCACCCTTGTCTTGGAGTGGCTCCGAGCGGGCATCGTGATGATTTATCTGCTGCCCAGGGCTGCCCATGACTGAATGTGGGGAAGATTTGGGACTGATTTCAGGCCCCATCACAGAGGGGCCAGAGATCCCTGCAAATGAGAGAGGGGGTGGGTGGAAGTTGGGGGTGTGGGGGTGAGGAACTGAGGGAGCTGTGGCTTTGGGGAGCACTTCTGGGTACCTGCAGCCTGCTGGGCCTTGCTGGCCCGGAAGGGGTTAAGCGGCTCTGGCACCCACAGCAATGGTGCTACAGGACAAGGGCCAGATGTGAGGCCGGAAGCCAAAAGGGCTACAGTGATTTTGCTCCTGAGATGGCTCTGGGGCTGCCCAGGGGACACACTGGGGGCCTGGGGAAAATCTCAGGGCCCTGGCCTGTGTGGCCCCACGCCAGCCATCACTCTGCCCAGCCCCCTGGGGAGCCCTGGGGCTACTCCAGCCTTTCCCAGGTGACAAATGGAATAGCAGAGGCCAAGAGAGGCAGAGTGGTCAGCCCTCAGTCACGGGGCTGCTCTGAGGGCAAGACAGCCCCTGCCACCCCACAGTGACGTCAGGGCGCCAGAGGGCTGACAATGACTCTCAGGTGGCAGGCTCCTCACAATGAGGAGCCAGGAGCTGCTGCTGCAGGTGAAGTGATGTTCTTGCAGGCAGGCCCAGCTCTCAGGAGCCCCCCACTTCTGGTTGGGGAGGTGCTGAGCACGTGTCCCGGCCCAAGTGGGTGCTAGGTGAAGAAATCCTCTTCCATCTCCCGAGGGACAATGGCTTTCGGAAACTCCTAGGGGTTGGCCTCTGTGGGAGCAGCCAGTCCTGGCAGGGGTAGACAGCAGGAAAAGTAGGGGGCAAACCCAGCAGAGAAGGAGGTGCCAACAGGCGAGGGCCGGGGTGGGAGGGGGCAGGTGAGGAGGACGATGGGATTTCCTTCTGGAGTGAAAGGAGCGGAGGGGAGGTGGTGGCCCTCTCCCGGGCCCCCCAGGCAGAACCAGGGAATTGGTTTAAGTTAAGTGTCAGTTGGCCAGTGGGGCCCACAGCTCCCCGGCTGGGGGTGAGGTGAGGGTCCTTGTGGGAAGATGTGGGGAGGGGGGACTGAGAAGCCCACATGCCTACCGAAGACCTAAAGCAGGGCTGCCTCCCACCCGGGACCTTTAAACGCCCTGTCCTGAAGCGTTATAGATGAGGCCTCTAGGGCTCAGAGAGGGCAAGGGATGGGCTGGAGGTTACACAGCTCACAAACAAGCAGGTCTGTGGGGTATGTGTTTCTGTCCCTGAAGCCCCCAGGCCTGCAATGCCCACAGCAGGCAAGGTTGGCCCTCCTGACACAGCTCCAAGCCGGGCTCCTGAGGGCATTGGGCATGGCAAACGAAGCCTGGCATATTGATAGCAGCACCCTCAGAGGTTGTATTGACTGAGTGGGAAGAGGCACTGTGATGGATTAATGATGTCTGCCCTGGGTGAGGCATGGCTGGTACCCCACGGGCTCTGTTTGGCCAGCCTCACCTTAAGAGGGCCAATTGCTGCAGAGGGCACATGCATGTACACAGGGAGCATTTAAGAAAGAGCATTCCCGTAGTTCCCAGAGGATCCGAATCCTAATGATGCCAGGTCCTACAGTGGCGTGGGCCACTGTAAGAGCTGTCTGGGAGTGATGGCAGTGATTGTACCTGCTCTGGACTCCCAATAAGCACAGTTGTTCTAAATCCTGGGGCGAAGGAGGGAACGGGTAACAAAGCCAGAAGTCGGGAGTCACCCAGGTTGACGGGCAGCCTGGGCGCATGAAGGCACCTGGGTCTCAGGGAGGGAGTTGACGCACCTGGTACTGGAGCCAGACACACACACCCCAGATGTCCTAGGGGTGCCAGACCCTACTGTTCTGGGGGATGCCAGACTCTGTTCTCCGGGGGGACAGAAGACTCTCCTTTCCTGGGGGACACCAGACTCTGCTACTAGCTGTGTAGCAGATGGGTTGGAGGTTCAAATCCACCCAGAGCACCTCAGGCAGAGGTGCACCTCAGGAGGGAATGGCCTTCCACAGCAACAAGGGGTTTTTCCTTCTGTTGTTTTCTTTTTGAGCCTCCATGCAGGGAACACAGGGAAGGGTATTCCAAATAGGGGGGTGGACTGTGCCAAAAGCCAGCTCTTAAGGGAAACACCTGCCCCTCCTTGTGGCTGCAAGGGACAGGGAGGTGGCTGTGGAGGGGGTGGGGAGCAGGGAGCACCGTGGAGGAGTGACCAGGACCTTGGGAGCTGGCTCAGGAGCTAGCCTTGACCCTGTAGCCCTGGTGAGCCAGCAAGGAGTGGTACCCAGAGAGAAGGTCTATGAGGAAACACAACAGGAGGGCTGTTGACAGGACCTCCCTGGGAGGGGTTGAGGCCTGGGACTCACAAGAGCAGATCCCAGAGCCTGGCAGCGCCACGGGGCAGTCCCTGACTGCTCAATGGGGCCCCCACCCCATCCTCTAGTTCCCAAGGCCCCACCACCATGGAGCCTGGTGGCGTAGTAGTCAGGAATGGGGCTGCTAACTGCAAGGTCAGCAGTTCGAAACTATCAGTTGCTCCGAGGGGATCAGATGAGGCTCCCTGCTTCTGTAAAGATTCTCAGTCTCGGGGACCCCACAGGGGCAGTTCTACCCTATCCTGTAGGGTGGCTACAAGTCTGCCTCGACTCAATGACGTGAGTTTGGAGGAGAGATGTGGATGGGCTCCCAATAAGACTGATAGTCACAGAGACCCTGCATAGGGCCTCGACAGCAGGGCTAAGGAGCATTGGAGCTGGTAGGAGCTGTGGGCGGGGGCCACCCAGGATGCTGGCCCTCAGCTCTCACCCCACCCGCCTACAAGGACACTCCTGTGTGTTCCAGCCCCTCATCCCACCCAAGGCCTCTGGGCTGGAGTCCAGCACCGGCAGGAGGCTGGGCTGCGACTGAGCGTCCGGTCCACGCGCCCCTGAGCCTTTCCCTGGATTGCAGCTGAGAGCCGGGGTGCTAGGATGCCGAGGGGCCGGCAGGGGGCAGCTCCGCGCCTGTGCAGGGCTGTGTGCTGGGCAGTGGGTTGGAGGGGTAGTGTCTGTGTGGTCTGCGGAGATGGGGGTGACCCTCATCAGCAGCCTCCTCTGCCCCCTCGCGGCCGCCAGCCTGCGCAGCAGCACCACAGGCCGAGGGGCCGCGAAAAGGGAAGGTGGGGGTCAGGATTCCTTGGGTCTGTGAGAAGCCCTGAGAGGGGCTGTTCTATTTCCCGCCCCCCCCCCACTCCCCACTGCTTCTCCCTCGGTCCCCAGCCCTGCTCAAGGGCATCCAGAAGTGAGCAGACCCACAGCCCCTCCAAGACCAAGCCCCAGAAACAGACACACACACCCCCACCCCGCAGCCCCCAACACACACACACCAGGGCCATCAAGACAGACAGGATCCCCCTGGACTGGGCTCCCTGCTGCCACTTACAGTGTCCCAGACATGGAGGTGACACGAGACAGGACGGTCCCTCGCTCTGCTGGTAGGGGTCACCTGCTAGACAGTGGCTGACGGCAGCAAAGACAGTCGGTCGGTCACGCTCTCCCCCGCCCCCTCCCCCCGGGTGGGGAGGGCAGTACTTGCCCCACTTGTCATCCGGGGCCTGACTCCGAGTTGGTGGGGGTGCTTGGGTTGTCACTCAGCCTATTCTAACTCCAGGTGACAGCAAGTGACAGAGTGGAACTACCCCCTGGGGTCTCCCTGGCTATAAGCTGAAGGGAAGCAGGCTTTCTCCCACGGAGTCGCTGGGTCGGTTTGAACCGTCCACCTTCAGTTTAGGTTAGCAGCTGAGCTCGGCACCATTGGTTGAGTGGTGGCATGGTCCCAGGGGTCCCAGCGGGGGTTCGCAGAGCGGCGGTGAGTGAACTCGCCTAACACAGAAGCCAGGAGGAAGAGACAGACTCGAACTGCCCAAGGCCCAGCGGATGAGCCACACGGGGAGGCGCATTTGGCCACAGGGTCCTGTCTGTGTCCACGTTGACCCGGTGGTTCAGCCGCTGGCACCTCCCCTTGGCCTCCAGCACCGGCCCACCCTCCAGGTTCTGTCCCCAGGAGCCAAACCCACTGTGGGCACTAGAGCTGACCAGGGAGCTCACCAAAGCCTGACCGTTCACCCAGCCGGCGTGGGCCAGCGCCTGGGCTCTACGGGAGTGGTCCAAGCACGCATCTGCGTGGTCAAGTGTGAGCCCCTCGATACCCACGCCACCCCCTCCACTGCCGACAGGTCAGTTCCCTGATCTCAGCCTGAGGTTGCTCGGCACGGAGATTGTGGGCCCCTTAGGCGTCTGGGCCACCCAAACCCACCCAGGAACAGCCGCGCCTCCCCGGAAGCTTGTCGGGAACAGCCGAGAGCCACGCCTCTGGCTTGTTAGGGGGAGAAGGAGGCTCTCTGACTAGGTCATCGGAGACTGCCGGGAACCCTCCCTCCCAACCCCCCAACTTCCTTCTCTCCGAAGAAGGAGATGAGACAGTGGTCCAGAAAGATGCTTTTGGCTCAGCCCCTGTGCTGGGGGTCAAAAAATGTCTGACACAAAAAGCAACAGGGCACAGAGAGGGCCCCCGATGGGGTGGAGAGGGAGTCCACGGTTTAGAGAAAACCTGGTCTGGACGCGGGCTACAGAGCCCCACCTCTGAGATGCTGGGACTCCATTTTTCACTCCTTGTCACTGTGTGAGTATGGCACCGCTCAGCCTCTGTCAACACCTCTCCCTTTCTCTGACCCCAGCCTCCCTCCTAGTAGGGCCATTGGGTCCTCCTGGATAGTCCTGAGGACATGGCAGTTTACACATCGGGTGGCTCATCACAAAGTCAGCAGTTTGAAACCACCAGCCGCTCCTCAGGAAAAAGACGAGGCTCTCCACTGCCGTCAAGAGTCCGTCTTGGGAACTCACCGAGCTCCTGCTTCCCTGTCCTGGAGGGTCAGCTGTAGTGAGTCAGAACCAACCTGCTGCTCTGCGTCCACCACACTGGCGTGAAACTGCTCCGTAAGGTGCCGTAAGGTTTCCGAGTCTCGGCCGGAGCACATGGCCTCGTATTTTCCCCAGGGAACGGCTGGTGGGTTTGAACCACTGGCGTGCTGGTTAGCAGCCCAGCTCCTTCCCATCACAAGACCACTCATCACATCCGTCAAGTCCGTGAGCAAGGCCTTCCCTTCCCTCGCAGTCCCAGTCAGCGCTGTCCCTCGCTGTCCACTGCCCCAGCCTCCAGCC